TTCGTCTGCAACCGTATTCCTCCAGCTTGGGAGGAATCCAGGAAGTATAAAGGGACAGACACACGCAGATGTGTTCATATTTCCATTTGGGTGACAGCCACTGACGTGTGTGCATCTCTTTTGGCTGTACTATAGGAATACATTAAGGAACTCAATGGAAACGTATCTTCTTGCTAATATTTTAATGGTATAGATCTGCTAATGAATTCTCTTCCAAACATATACTTAGTGTACTCTGTTGCTTTATGTCTTATTTTAAACTGAGCCTTAAGGGAATATAGTATTTTAACATTAACTCTGCCAATACTTTTATCTAGAAGCCTGTTGCCATTTTTGTCGTCTGTGACATTTATGTCCAAAGAAACGCAGGATTACATTTTTTCCTAACAGATTGAGTTGTGGTGTAGTGTATTCTTGGTTATCAAAATACTCATACAGCTTTGGGATTTCAAATTGGTAAATATTCATGATGTGTGAAAAAGCATGACATATACTGCATGCTCTCAAACATGTAAAACAAGGCTGTGTGCACACATAGGACACAGAAGGACACGGCAAACTGTAAACTGCTTGGGATTCTGGAGGACTTTGTTCTTTGCTTGTCTTTTTCAGTTTCCTATAATGTACATGTTAATTTTTTTAAAGTAAGGTTATTTTTTTAAGGGGGACAAGATGGCCTGGGAGAGGGCCTGTAAAATGCAGATTTCTAGGGCCTGCCCTTACTCCCTGGGGTCTAGGGTGGGGCCCAGGAATCTGCATTTTAAACATAAACCCTCAGCTGATCCTGATACAGACAGACACAGACCACATCTTGAGAAACTGAGAAATGAAGAGCTGAGACTTATGGGAAACTGCTTCACAGCTTTAAACTGATCAGTATTTTTAACTGTTTCACAATGGATGTGGTTGACCAGGTGTGAGCTTAGGCAAAGTGCCTGTTGTCCCACTGACCTTTTACTTGGAATATCTCTTCTAACACTAACATTTTATTACAAAAAAATATAAAATTTCCTGAAAGGTCAAAATAATTGTGTCACACACACCCATACACACACCGCCTAGATTCTACAATTACAAGTTTTGCTATCTGTGCTTTATCACATATCCATCCATCTATCCTTCTCTCTAACCACTTCATTTTTATTTTCTGGATAAACATACCTCGTACTTGGGTCTTTTCTAATCTAAGGTTTTACCACCTGTGGGTCAACCTCAATTCACAGATGCATTTCTTGTTTTTGAGAGGGGGTCTCATTCTGTCGCCCAGGCTGGAGTGCAGATCTCGGCTTACCACAACCTCAGCCTCCTCCAGGGCTCAAGCAATCCTCCCACCTCAGACTCCCAAGAGTTGGGACCACAGCTGCCTGCCACCAGAGCCGGCTGATATTTCTGGCATTTTCTTGTAGAGATGGGGTTTCACCATGTTGCCCAGGTTGGTCTGGAACTGGTGGGCTCAAGAGATCTGCCTGCCTTGTCCTCCGAAAGTGTTGAGATTATAGGCATGGGCCATTGGGCCACCATGCCTGGGCCACAGATGCACTTCTTCATGGTGCTGTCTGCTTTGAACTGCATAGGAACTGTTCTTAAGGACTCTCAGGGCAAATCCCCTGGAAATGTGCATTGCTACACCCTGAAAAACCTGGATTTTCATGTAAAGCTGGGCACACACTTATTTCTTAAAAGCAACACGGGCCCATCAAAGTCACCTATGCATTAAGGTAGCGCCGGGCCTTGACATGAAGCCCACTCAGCACTGGAGGGAGTGACTGGCCCAGGCATCTGCCACTGGGGGCAAGGGTTCACCTCAACCCCAGCGGGGCTCAGATGGTACCTGGCTCCCACCTCAAAGCAGCTCAGCTCCAGGCCTCTGAGCTGCATTCCAAGTTGAGTTCAACATACACCTGAGTGCTGAGGTGGGAGGCCCGCCCCGGGAGGTCTGTGCTCCCATATTCGGCTTCTGCAGGTATCTGAGAAGGTGGGGGCTCCAATGCAGTACAGCAGCCACCAGCTCTGCAAATGCAGCACTGCCCAAAGCCAGCTCCAGATACGACTCACTCAGCAAGCATCTCTCCAACACCTCCCAGGGCCCAGAACTGCTCTACATGCTGAGAACTCGCCCCATGAAGACACAAACCAAACTCCTGGGTCAGGCTTCCTCGTCCGGTGGGACTCGGGGAAGCAGTGGTGGAAAGCAGGGCTCATGCATCAGGCAGACTTGGGGCCACGCAGCCTAAGTGCTTAAATGTTCTGAAACACCGCACACCACCCGCCTCGTGAAAATGCTTGATGGGCATGCTGCACACCTTCCATGGCTGGGCCCTGAAAGCCCCTCCAGCCTCACCCCTCACCATCCACCCAGACACACCAGGACCTTGTGGCCCTGACTTCCGGTGTCTCTCCTGCATGCTGCTTTCTCAGGCTTCCAGGCCTTTGCTCCTCCCTCTGCCTGGCTCTCCCTGCTTGGTTAACTCCTAGCTATTTCAGGCCTCACTTTCAACAGCACCCTCCCAGCAAAGGCCTTCCCTGGCCCCAGCTCATGTTTGGATGAGGCGCCCTCCTCTGTGACCCCCAGCACAGCACTGACGGTGCTGCGTCCTAACCATGTGCTGCCCGCCTGCTCCCCTCCCCAGAGGCTAAGCCCTGTAGGTTCAGCTGTTTCTTCCATGACTATCTCCATGCTGCTCAATTAGTGTCACTGCATGAAAAAGGCAAAATCACTCACAAACAGAAAGGTTTCAAGTCTAGAAGAGGAACAAGGGAGGGAATCCGAAATTGTTCTAAGCATCCTATGAGGACTGAAGATGGTTTGCTAGGGTGTTGTAACTATTCCAATCCAAGGACAGGTGTCCTCCGCCACTTATCTGAGTCCTGACACCATGGGCATCTGAAGGTAGTACAACTCACTCCTCTCAACAGTGGCCTGGACTCAATCGACCATGCCCAGTTCATCACCTGCGTCGATGGCTCTGTGTCTGCAAACCTACGTGTGTGTCACTACCTATCCCTGAATAAATGTCTCATGCAGATAGACACTATTGCTCTTTCTCTTGTGATTAATAAAATGAATATGAAATCTAAGGCATTATAAATCTCATGGTAATTTTCCACTATGAAAGTCGTTAATGTGAAAAATACTTCTGTCATTTCAGAGGCATGACACTGGAGACTATGGAAACCTCTCTAAAACGCCAAGAACTCCCTGATGCAGAGGGCAGAGCTTGTGCGTTTCTAGATCCTCTGCTCCTGGTGCAGGGCTCAGTTACCATGCAGGCAGGTGCTGGGCAGATGCGTCTGCGTGACTGAGCGAGGATGCTCCCACAAGGCACACAGAGATGGGATCCCCAAACCCACCCTCCTCCGCAAATCAGGGTACGGGGTGAGATGTGGGAGTCACGTTCCATCCATGACCTCACGCTGGGGCTGCACGAGGTCCCCCATGTGCAGGAGGAGCTGCTGAGGTGGTGGTTTGTGCATGACAGTCCCCAGTCCTCCCACCCAGGGCATTTCCAGTAAGTGATGCAGCCGTCAGAAGTTGCCCATGTCCCAGAGCCCATCTGTGCCAGGGATTTGGGCCTCTCATAACCCACAGAGCCAGTGGCCCATCTCCAAGACAAAGCTGAGAAACTGTCTACCCTCTCCACCCCTCGCCCAGGCCTGGGCAGGCTTTGCACAGCCTCTAGGATGCCTTCTCAGCAGGGGGCAAGGAGCTTTAGCATGTGGCTCACATTCCTCAGGGGACACTCCCTGAGTGGGTCTGAGGAACAGAGAGGCCCTTGCCATAGCCTCGCCAACCCACCTCGCCCAGCCCCAGTGCCTCCAGGGCCCAGTTGCAGCACACAGCACATGGAAATCCTGGGCCGACAGCCTTCCCCGGCACCGACAGCTCCATGGCAGGGAGAGGACAATACGGTGCTCTGCCTTTGGTGGCCTAAGCAGCCTTCTGGCTGGTAGGAGAGACGTCGGGCTTATTTCTTAGCCTTGAACAAGTCCACTCAATGTGTGCCAGTATTCTGATTTCACTCAGCTCATGTTTTCTAACCACTTCCAGCCCCCCCGGAATAGGCAATGGGAAAAATTCCTAAATCCTCAGAAACGGGGGTCCTGGAAGCTGCTACTGACATGAGGTTGTCAGGGTGAGTGGTCAAAGCATCAGAGATCTCATTTGGGTCTGGGTCTCCATGTAGCCTTGACCCTTTCACCAGCATTTTTCCCAGAACCTCGATAAGATTTAAAATAAAGATGGTTCGAGTAGCCTCCACTGGCTGATGACTTACTATGGGGCTTGCCCATCACCAGTTACATCTTTGAAACCTCACAGAGCCATAACAGTATTCCTATTTTTAGGGACAGGGTTCCTCTCTGCCACCTAGGCTGGAGTGCAGCAGTGCAATCATAGCTCACTGCAGCCTCGACATCCCAGGTTCAAGCAATCCTCCTGCCTCAGCCTCCTGAGTACCTGGGACTACAGGCACGTGCCACTATGCCTGGCTAAATTTTTTTATTTTTTATAGAGACAGAGTCTTGCTATGTTGCCCAGGCTGATCTCGAACTCCTGGCCTCAAGCGATCCTCCCACCTTGGTCTCCCAAAGTGCTGGGATTATAGGCATGAGCCGCTGCGCCCAGTTGCCTGTTATTCCCACAGATGAGGAAATAGTCCTAGCAAATTAGCCACAGAAATTGCAAGAAGTCTTTTAAAAGATGCACACGGATAGAAGGTGATCATAATGCCATGAGGTGGGGGCAGGAGAAACCCTGAAAGGAATCACTGCCTTACATCAATCAATGACACTCCTTCCCCTCCCCTACTGATGGGGAGATGAAGAGGAGCAAGACGGGGGCCCTGGGAAGTCCAGGCAGGCTGAGGTGCCAGGGAAGCATCTGCTGAGACAGATGAGCTGTGGCTCCGCTTCCCCAAGCCCCCAAGGACAGGTCAGTCTGCATCTGCTTCTGAGGAATTTCCAGCAGCCCCGTCCAGGGGCCTTGCAGCAAGGCCGCCTACCTCCATGCGGGCCTTGTAGAAGTCCACGTCGTGCAGTTTCTCCTTGCAGCGGGTCAGCTCCAGCTCCAGCCTCTCCACGCGGTTTGCCTTCTCCCGCAGGGAATCCAGTTCGTCTCGATAGGCACGAGCAGACCGGGCGTCTGCTGCTAGCTGGATGTTCTGGAGAGTGGACAAAGGCAGGAGAACCTAGCTTAGGGCATCCTCTAGGGAGGGCAGAAAGGCCAATACCCTCCTGCATGGTGTCTCCATGATGGCCAGCTCCTGGTGGCCGGGGGCCTCCATGTGCACGCCACCACACGGGATCTCCACCTGCTGTCACTAAGAAACAGGGTCATCCCCATAGCCGTGCTCAGGACAAGTGGCTCTTGGGCGGCTTAAAAGCGCTGCTGTTGTGCTCCTGACCCTCCAGGCCCCGTTATTGGACACTCCAGCCCTGCCACCCCCAGGACACACAGGCTCAGGCCCCCAACTCACCTCCTGCTTAACTTTCTGCAGTTCCAGCACCAACTGGTCCACCTCATGTCTGGTGTCCACAAGCTGCTCTGTCTTATCCTCCCTGCAGAGGCAGTAAGGACAAAGAGTGTGGGAGGCAGCCTCCTTAACAAGCAGTCCCGGACGCAGGCTGCCACTTCTAAGACCAGCGGGAAAAGGAAAGCGCCGGGGATTTGGGCGGTGGGGAGGCGATCTGCTTATGGGGCCTGCAAAAATGTTACCGACTCAAAATTCTTTTCTCTTTGTAAGTTTGCAACATTGGCCCTTAAACTATGTCCATCCGCCACTCAGGTCTCCTTCCAAGTGTGTGGGGCAGGTAAGGAGACCCCAGCGGCAGCTGTACCACCCTACGGCCAGGCTCTACAGGTGACCAGCCAGGTGACATCCACCAGCTGCAGGAAACCTGGGAGAACAGGCTCACCAGACTGGACCGAAGGAGGAGCACCTCCTCCCTCCAGCCAAGAAAACACACCAGGTGTGGTCATCCCGGCCCCAAGCTGGAGCTGAGCATGGACTGGAGGCTGCCTCTGTGGACAACTTGCACTGTCTGGACTGAAGAAACCCTGAAGACCGGGAAGAACCCCCGCCCCCATTCCAGTGCTGGCCTCGGACGGGGAGGCAGCTGGTCCCAGGTCAGAGTAAGCTCAAGGCAGACCCCAGCTGACTCCAGGGCGCACGTCAGAGCTGTGCCATTGGCAGCACCACGCATGTGAGTCGATGCCACACCAGAAACACGACTGTAACAACACACACAAAGGTAGGAGAAGCAGCCGGGGACTCACAGCTCCTGCCTGACGCGCCGCAGCCTGGCCTTGGTGTCAGCCAGCTCCACGGCCAGGTGCTGCTTGTCTTCACTGGAGAGGCTGCTGGTGGGGCTGGGAGTGGAGTCAGCGCTGGAGGACTTGACGGGGCTGGGTGGATGCTGCGCCTGCAGGTAGTCACGCTCCTGAGTGAGGTCCACAATCAGCTGCAGCCGGGCAGGGAGGGGGACGGAGGAGAACAAACGGGGTTAACCAGCACCACACCTGAGCTCGAACAGGGTGAAGAAACCACCAAAAGACAGATATTTCAGCGGAGACTAAGAAACCAGGAGGAAGGTGGGAGAAGGCTGGCGTAGGTTTTGAAAAGAGGAAATATTTAGTGAAATATTTAGTGAAACAAAAGGGAATGTACGAAGGAGGGGGGCCCCAAGCTCCGCGTCCTGATCCCCTGTATCTTCCCACAGGCCCGAGGTGACCATGCACTGCAGGGGCCGTAACTAGGGAAAGCACGCACGTCCCACCCCGACCAGAACCTCAGCAGCAGGACTGAGGCGTCTAGGCTGAAGATGAAGGGAGAGGAGATGAAGGGGCCTGAGCCCCTTCCCAGGCTGCCCAGGCCGCCACCCCGCGGACGCACCTCGCTGCACTCGTCCCGCTGGTCGATGAGCCTCCGCAGGTGGAGCACCATGCTCCTCGAGAGGGCCTCCAGCTCCTCCGGAGCCACGTCGGGCAGCTCCAGCCACTGCAGGTCAAACACGTTCTCTTGGTTGTGAGTCACCTGTGGGCACACATGGCAGGGCAGTGCAGGGGCAGCAGAGACGGGCACCCACTTCCTTCACACTGCAAACAGCATCTCCTTCCAATCAACCTTACTAATCCCTCAGTGACAAATTTACTGTGGCCAGTAAAAGGGTGCCCTATGCAAGTGCAGCCAAACCCTTCAGCACAGCCCTGTTCATACAAACCACTTCTGCTTTCAGAACTGGGTCAAAGAGGACACTGGTTTTCAAAGAGGACCAGAAAGCACGCCTTACAATTGTTTCCCTATAAGGTCCTGGGATAAGACATCTTCACTGGAACTACATCGATGTAGAACACAAAGAAGGAAAGCTTCAGGGTGAGAGGGTGAGGAAAGGGACTGTATGTTACTTCTTAAAATCTATGCAAACAGAGCAAAAATATTAATCTTTTGTCAGAATGTTGTGTACAAAGCAATCTTGGGTTGTTTTCTGGAACTATTCATAATCAAACAGTTTTCAGGGAAGGGTGCATCTCATTCCCACGGGCCACAGAAGACAGCCTCTTTGGGCCCCTTTCCCTGGCCAGGGAGTGGAGATACACGGCTCTGTCTACATGAAACACACCCCGCGATCTGCCCCAGGAGACAGCGCCTGTTTCCAGCTCTCCTCCTCAGTTTTGGAAGAGATACCATAGTGCTCGGGACTCAAAAGAGGAAAACAAGAACAATGAAATTGGGGCATCTGCTCTGAAACACACCCAAAGAAGTCTTTATTCAATCAACAGAGGTAGAGAAAACAAAAACACAAACTCAGCTTGAGCAACATAGTTAAGACCCCATTCTCTACAAAAAAATGTAAAATTTAGCCGGGCGAGGTGGCATGCACCTGTCGTCCCAGCTACTTGGGAGGCTGGGGCAGAGAATTACTTGAACCTGGGAGGCGGAGCTTGCATTGAGCTGAGATTGCTCAACTGCACTCCAGCCTGGGTGACAGGGAGAGACCCTGTCTCTAAAAAAAAGACAAACCCATAAAATAAAAAGTAGACAGGGCCCTGTCAACAAAGGCCCTTCAATTTCTCAAAATTTGAAGAGACACCACCTTCTTACTTCTCCCCACCTTAAAAGGATAAGTTTGGATATGGGTGATCTGAGAATTAGGAGAAATCTTATCCCATGATTCAGAGCACCCTAAGGGCACAGGATGGAGAGGCTGGTTCTAGGCCTGCTCCAGACCCAATGCTGGGGAAAGTCCTTGGACATCTCAGGGCCTCTGTAAAGGGTGGTGTGGCTGGGCTTCAGGGGCTCAACCTGGCTGCACCACAGCCACTTACTGAGGTTTTATTTAAATGCTTATGCCCCTCCTCCCACTGAGTCTGACTCAGTGGGTCTCTCAAGGGGCCCAGCACCCCAATTTTTAAAAAGCACCAGGGAATTCTGAAGCCCAGGCCTGACAGTCCCAGCCAGCTGTGGAAGCTGGTAGGCCGAGCCACAGGTTCTCCCCAGTATCAACCCAGGGAGTCCTGTGCTCAGCTGCCTCTGCCAATCACACACCAGTTCCTGTGCATGCAAATCTTCTTCATGCATTTATCTCATCTGTCCAATGACACTGACTGCTGAACCCATATCCCCTAAGGTAATTAAAGCACACAGTGCATATTTTGGAAGGAGTGTGGAAGTGGAGGTCAGGAAAGTAAATTGCCACCTGGATACTGCCCCCCAGGGTGGCTGCCTCCTTAGCTGATACCACCTCTGCCAATGTCAATGGCAAAGTGCCAGGAAGGTCAGGCCTCCAAGGCCAGGGGCTCCTCCTCCTGCACTCTGCTGATGCTCAATGCAGAGCCCTCCCGAACCCTCGCTGGGGGCCTGAGTTGGGGATGGGCCAAGTCTCCCAAGGCAGCCTCTCTGGGACTCACTGGTTTAGATTCTCAAGTGGTGTCAGCTTGTCTCTGCCATGTCACTGACAGAAGCAGAGAATCTCTCTCTATAAAGATCAACCATTCAAAGCAGGGTGACATTTGCCAGAATACATTTTCAGGGCCTGTAAATCAAATTCTGAGCCTCAACCACTTGACAGCTCTTAAAAATAGTCTGAGACCATATTAGGCAAAAAGAAGGCGACAAAAGACGACTTGATTGAGGTGTTTTTTTTTTTAATTTTTATTTTTACCCTCATTTTATTTTAGCTGGCTGATTGATGGCTATCTTTCCAAATAGAATCAATGTGCCTGTGGTGTCTGAAACCTAAGATTAGCAAAATCGTAACAGGTGATGTATTCTTTAAACGTCTCCACTCATAGAGAAGTTTTGCCTCCTGGCTACCACGGGCGCAGCAGTGCACAGCTGAGCCCTCCACGAGGCCACGCACCTACCTCCTGGATATGGGCCACGATGCCAGCCTGGGTCTCAATGTCCAGCTGTTTGATTCTTTCAATGAACTCCTCTTTCCTCTCACACTGCAGAGGGTTACATGTGTTAATGGAAGCACTGTTCAAGTGAGGGCGAAGCTGAGTCCACCACGGCCACGAATGACAGTTTCAAAAGGAACCACCCACCCTGGGCTTCTTCATAACTAAGAACGCTCTTGTCCTCCTGCCAGCCCTTACGCTGATGTGTCTCTGGTTGCCGGGACCATCTACATCAGAATCACCAGGGGGAACTTGTTCTTAAAACTCCCATCCGTAAGCCCCCACCGAGATTGAAAAGACCAGGGTGGAACACAGAACGCTTCGTTTTAAACAAGCTCTCCAGGTGATTCTTAAATACGTAAAGACAGAGAACACCTGGTTTAAGCCAGGGGGTGGCAAACTTCATGTGTAAAAAGCCAGATGGTAAATATTTTAGACTCTGTGGGCCATTTGGCCTCTGTCACAACTACCCAGCTCTGTCGCTGTAGTGGGAAAACAGCCACAGACAATATGTAAAGGCGGGCATAAGGCTGTGTTCCAATAAAACTTTATTTGAGAGAGGGTCTCGCTGTCACCCAGGCTGGAGTGCAGTAGCATGATCATGGCTCACTGCAGCCTCAAACTCCTGCACTCAAGTGATCCTCTTGCCTCAGCCTCCTGAGTAGCCGGCAGGCATGCACCACCATACCCAGCTAATGTTTTCTATTTTTTTCTGAAGACAAGGTCTCACTATGTTGCCCAGGCTGGTCTTGAACTCCCAACCTCAAGCCATCCTCCCCCACCTCAGCCTCCCAAAGTGCTGAGACTACAGGCATGAGCCACCGCACTCAGCCCAATAAAACTTTATTTACAAATGTAGGCAGCAAGTCAGATCTGGCCCACAGGGTGTAGTTTGCAGATCCTTGCTCTAGCAGTTCCTACACTGGGGACGATTTGCTAATGGTACCCTTGCCTGAGGGATCCCCATCTCGCCTCCTGCCCAAGGTGCCCTGGTACTAGAAACAGCTGCCACCTAAAACAATGGCCACTTTCTTCTAGGAACCCAGCGGCCTTCTGTCATATTGGACTGAAAGGCGCATCCTCCCACCTAAGCTAAGGGCTGGTTCCAGTCCCACAAACCCAGTATGAGAAGGCTGGGGGAGCTCCCTCTGCTGCAGCCCTGCCCAATCCCTACCTGGACGGCACAGCCCAGCACCAGGAGCAGCACCTTCTTGATTTCCTCCATGCTCTTCCCTAGATCAAGAGAGCAACACATTTAATTCAGCTCAACTGCTGGTACAATTTCAGTGACATGTTTACTGTAGGGGGAAAAAAATCAGATAAAAAAAATCATCTCTCTACTCTGTGACATTCACTTAGGTATACTCACTCCACCGATCTTCCATGTGAGGCTTTATTTACTTTTTATTTTATTTTGAGACAGGGTCTCACTCTGTCACCCAGGCTGGAGTACAGTGGCAGGCCCACAGCTCACTGCAGCCTTGACCTCCCAAGGCTCAAGCGATCTTTTCACCTCAGCCTCCCTAGTAGCTGGGACTACAGACATATACCACCATGCCCAGCTAATTTTCGTATTTTTTGAAGAGACGGGTTTTCGCCCTGTTGCCCAGGCTGGTCTCAAACTCCTGGACTCAAGTGATCTGCCCACCTCAGCCTCCCAGGGTGCTGGAATTACAGGTGTGAGCCACCACACGCAGCCTTATTTACTTTTTAAATCAAAAGAGAATTCTGTACATAACTATTTGAAGCCCCATTCCATTCAAATATGTCATCAATATCTCCCCGTGGTAATTAATGAACCGTAACATCAGTATCCCTTGTTAGCGCATCAGGTAAGCAAAGCACACAATGGGAGAGACCAACTCCCATAGGAAATACTGAGTCGACACTAAAATAAGGCTGTATACAACCATCCCCTTTTTATTATGCAAATTTCCAAACAGACCCAGGAGGACAGTATAACAAACCTCCACAATACACTCAGCCTCACATGATCAACATTCTGCACCTCTCACTCTACCTGCCTCCTCCTTCCCTCTGTAAGTTTGTTTGGCTGGAGTATTCTAAAGTAAATTCCATAAGATAACATAAAGACATCCTTTTTTTTTTTTTTTTTTTTGAGATGGAGTTTTGCTCTTATTGCCCAGACCGGAGTGCAGTGGCACTATCTCAGCTCACTGCAACCTCCACCTCCCGGGTTCAAGTGATTCTCCTGCCTCAGCCTCCTGAGTAGCTGGGATTACAGGTGCCCGCCACCACGTCCAGCTAATTTTTTTGTATTTTTAGTAGAGATGGGGTTTCACCATGTTGGCCAGGCTGGTCTTGAACTCCTGACCTCATGATCTGCTCGCCTTGGCCTCCCAAAGTGCTGGGATTACAGACATGAGCCGCCGTGCCCGGCCCTAAAATATGTCAATCTAAACAATGTTATAAAGAATATCATGGTAGCAGGCCGGGCGCGGTGGCTCAAGCCTGTAATCCCAGCACTTTGGGAGGCCGAGACGGGTGGATCACGAGGTCAGGAGATCGAGACCATCCTGGGCTAACACGGTTGGAAACCTCTGTTCCTCTACTCAAAAGACATACAAAAAAAACTGCCGGGCGAGGTGGCCGGGCGCCTGTAGTCCCAGCTACTTGGGAGGCTGAGGCAGGAGAACGGCGTGATAACCCGGGAGGGCGGAGCTTGCAGTGAGCCCAGATCGTGCCACTGCACTCAGGCCTGGGCAACAGAGCGAGACTCACACTCAAAAAAAAAAAAAAGATATCATGGTAGCTATATTCTTTATGCATTCCCTTTTTCAGCTTTTCGTACTGACAAGCTACCCTGCCAGACAGGCTCCTACCATTCTCACCATGGAACATATGTGGTGATTCCCATTTTCCTACCCTTGACCAGCGTATTTACCCTACCTACACTCTTTCTCAACTTTGTCAATCAGGCCAAAATCCTGTTTCTTCGTCATTCTGAGCTCTCTTTGACTGTGCTGAGGCTGAATGCATTTTCACCTGCTTATGCTATCTCAACACTTAAATGGCAGCAGAACACCTGGGGCTTAGACGACCGGGCTTGGTCACCAGGAACTGTGTGTCCCAGACAAGCCATATTCTGTCTCCAAGCCTTAGTTACCAACATCTATAAAATGGCCTGGGTAATGTGCACGTTCCCTTTTTCAGCGTTTTCAAAAAAAAGAAAAGAAAAAAGAAAAAAAAAATCTATGTGTTCTGACTTTTTTGTTATATTCTGTTGTATTTGAGGAAGAAAGGATATGCCAGAAAGAGCTTTCTTCTCTTGAAAGACTTAACCAACTCACACACTAGGCTACAGTGGCCCAAAGTATCAAAGACTGCTGGGATGAAAAAACCAGACCACCGTCCTGAGAACCAATGCTGTGGTTCATTTCAGATTCCTGAGTACGAGTAGTGAATGAATATGCGACCTCCTCCTAAGACCCCTCGACTGAGAAATAGCTAAAATTGGCTTTCCTTGAGATAATGACATCACTGTCAAGCCTCAGAACTGGGAACTGGGGGTTCACTGAACCAGAAGCACACGCCGCCACCCAGCCTGAAGGCAGGGCAGGGAGAGACTGGTGGGCTGGGCCACAGGGTCTAAAAGCCACGTTCCTGCTCTGGAGGACACGCCTGAGAAAAAGGCTCAGAGTTGCAAAACAATCCTCTAAGGTTAAATCCTTCTCTTGCTAGTAAGTTTAGAGATTCGTCAATATTTGAAATGGAAAAATTCTCAAAGTCTTAGTATTATTTTTTTTTTTACTTGAGATCTTTTATTTGGCCCAAGACACTCTAATCCACAGAATAAATATCACCACAGTGACTCACTTCCCTATTAACATGGAGCTATTCATCAGCCACTTAACTTTAGTTTCGATAAAGAGAAAAGGGGCTGGGCGCGGTGGCTCATGCCTGTAATCCCAGCATTTTGGGAGGCCGAGGTGGGAGGATCACTTGAGGTAAGGAGTTCGAGACCAGCCTGGCCAACGTGGTGAAACCTCGACTCTACTAAAGATACAAAAATTAGCCAGGCGTGGTGGCATGCGCCTGTAACCCCAGCTACTTGGGAGGCTGAGGCAGGAGAATCACTTGAATACAGGAGGTGGAGGTTGCAGCAAGCTGAAATCGCTCCACTACACTCCAGCCTGGGTGACAGAGGGAGACTGTCTCAAAAAAAGAGAGAGAAAAGGGAATGCCCACATGTGTTAACAAAGCCTCCAATCAGTCTTTCTGACAGCGCTTGCCGGCTCAGCCCAAGTCACCCACCTCCCCCTTTCCACTTCTGTCAGCCCACAGATCACTGGCAAGGGCTCATCGCATGCCCATGCTAGATATAAGAGGCACAGACCCTTCCCTGCCATCACTGGCTTGTCTTCCTACAATAAGACTCACTTTTTGAAAGGCCACTCACCAGGTACTGTACCCACCAGAGGAGCCGAAACGCTAAGAAAGCACTTAAGGGTCTGAGATCAGCCTAAACAGAAGTCAGGGTTTGCACAGAAAATCTTTATGTACTCTATTCACAGCAAAGTCCCCAAAGGAACTAATTACATCACACTGTAGAATCATTTAGACAACTCTGGTGACCCATTTCCCCAGCCCAAAGCAGATTACAACAGCAAATTAAAAGGGGGAAAAGGGCTGGAGAAGCTCACTGATGGTGTTCTGAGAGCAAGGAAGAGAGCAGAAACCTTGCTCACACACTGGAGGGCACAAAACCACACTCTGAGGCCAGGTAAGTGGCCCACACGTGTAATCCCAGCACTGTGGGAGGCTGAGGCAGGAGGATCGCTTACATCCAGGAGTGCAAGACCAGTCTGGGCAACATACGGAGACCCCTCACCATCCCTTTTTTTTTTTTTTTTTCCCTTTTTTGTTTTTCTTTTTCGAGATGGAGTCTCGCTCCGTTGCCAGGCTGGAGTGCAGTGGCTCGATCTTGGCTCACTGCAATCTCTGCCTCCCGGGTTCAAGCGATTCTCCTGCCTCAGCCTCCTGAGTAGCTGGGACTACAGGCGCGCACCACCACACCCAGCTAATTTTTGTATTTTTAGTAGAGATGGGGTTCCACCATGTTGAACAGGTTGGTCTTGATCTCTTGACCTCGTGATCCACCTATCTCAGTCTCCCAAAGTGCTGGGATTACAGGCATGAGCCACTGTGCCCAGTCTTTCTTTTTGAGATGGAGTCTCACCCTGTTACCCAGGTTGGGGTGCAGTGGTGCAAGCTCAGCTCACTGCAACCTCTGCCTCCTGAGGTCAAGCGATTCTCCTGCCTCAGCCTCCCGAGTAGCTGGGATTACAGGCGCACGCCACCATGCCCAGCTAATTTTTGTATTTTCAGTAGAGATGGGGTTTCACCATGTTGGCCAGGCTCGTCTCAAACTCCTGACCTCAAGTGATCTGCTTGCCTTGGCCTCCCAAAGTGCTGGGATTACAGGCGTAAGCCACCGCGCCCAACCAAGATCCCATTTCAATTAAAAAAAAAAAAATTAGCCAGGCCTGGTGGTGCACTATTTGGGAGGCTGAGGTAGGAGGATCGCCTGAGCCTGGGAGGTTGAAGCTGAAGTGAGCTTTGACTGTGCCACCGCAGTCTAGCCTGGGCGACAGAGCAAGACCCTGTCTCCAAAACAAACAAACAAACAACAACATCGCAAAAACAACGCTCTGAGGCTGCTCGGTGACAGAGCAAAGGGTTCTACTCCCTCAGCACCCTGCGATCACGCACCATGACAACCCTGAGTTCATTCATTCCCTCATTCATCCCAACACCCATCAGACATCAAGAAAACACTCAATCTGACCCACAGCACGGGTTAGAAAAGCATGGATTCCTGTTTGCTAAGGTTTGTAACAGGAGGAAAAAAGGCTTTAAACATAGAGAATTAAGTTTAGAAAAATATTCCTAGGAAAAAAATAAACTCTTTGGTAATGAACAGGTTACTAAGAAATTCACCTCTGCCCTCATTCAAATGAAGCAGAGCAGTGCTCGTTCTCACCAGGCTGAGTAAATAGAAACATTTGCTTATAACAAATGCATCCTGTGATCCCAACCCCTACAGATTCCTACAAATTTTTTTTTTTAAAGTGCCCAGGGTGGGGAGCAGAAGTTTCCTCATTTCTCATGAGAAGCCGATGCCCAATTTCTTTCAGGATTTCAGTCGTAAGAAAAACCGCTATTTCCACAAATCTACCAGATTGTGGGTTTTGAACAGTTTCAAAACACAGCAGAAGATTCCCTCCTGGGTCCTTGCCAGTAGGACTGGCTCAGTGACACAGTCAAGCAGGCCAAGATCAAACAAACGTACAGACAGCTCCCTGCCAAGTACCTACTATGTGCTGGGAGCCAAACCAGCAATCTGAAAGCTGGTAAGTGCTACGGGAACCCAAGAAAGGAACTTCTAATTTGCAGCAAGGCCCAGGGCAAGGATTCTAAAGGGAATAACCTCTGAGCTGAGTTCCACAGATGAGGAGGAGACAGACCTGTCGGGTAGGCAAGTGCGGGCTTTCCAGGCCCAGGGAACAGCATGTGTGAAGGCCACGAGGTGAGAGAGCACACTGCTTGTCAAATTATAAGTGCTTTGCGCTTACACTTATCGAGCTGGTGTTCAGAGGGAGAAATGGGGGCAGGTTATAAAACAACGTGGATTTCTACACCAAAAAAAGTCACAAGCAACCACTGGGGGCGGGGATCGAGAAACATCAGACAGGACACACTCCACACTTAACACAACTACACTCTGTCGAGTATAGGAGAACCCCCGGGGGACTCCCAGGACTTCCTGAATGAATAGCTGAGTCTACGAAAAACCTACCTTACTACCTGCTTCCTGGAGTCTTGACACAAAGAAATTCACCACAGCCTATCTTAGCAAAAACGCAATGCAGACAGACAGGCCAACATAAGCTATATAGAAAGCTGCAGATGTTAACAGTCATAAGGTTCCAAAACAGAAGGGAAACCGCCAGACAGCACATGTTTCTAAGTGCAGAGGTGAGGATAGAAAAGTAGTTGGACAATTAAAATACATCATCCTCTAAAATGTGCATTACATCATGGTTTGAAAACTCCCCGACTTGCTAGCCCTGAGTCCATGGCAGACATGATTAGTCAATCACAGCACTTTCTGACTCAGGGCGGAACTAGGCCTCAGAATCCTTCTGAACACAGCACTCCACAGACTACCAGTTAATGGACGTTAACACATGGAACAAAACCTATCTTCCTTCCATGACTGGTATATAACCTCGAGAGTCCTTTTTGACTCCACTCTTTGGTTCTTTAAGATGCAGCCATGCACGTGGTTCAGAAGACACTTTTTTTTTTTTTTTTTTTGTGAGATAGAGTCTCGCTCTGTCGCCCAGGCTGGATGGAGTGCAGTGGCGCAATCTCGGCTCACTGCAACCTCAACCTCCTGGGTTCAAGCAATTCTCCTGCCTCAGCCTCCCAAGTAGCTGGAACTACAGGCACTCACCACCACGGCTGGCTAATTTTTGTATTTTTTTAGTAGAGACAGGGTTTCACCATGTTGGCCAGGCTGGTCTCGAACTCCTGACTTCAAGTGATTCATCCGCCTTGGCCTCCCAAAGTGTTGGGATTACAGGTGTGAGCCACCACGCCCAGACAAAAGACACTTTCTGATTTCTGGACACAGGAACTAAATCTTGTTGTGTATAAACGATGACTGAGGTGTGAAGCTGGGGATTTAAGCAATGGCAGGCAAGCATCCCTGTCATAAGAGGGAGCCCTTCCTGCTCCAAACTGCATACCCTCTGCCCTTGCTGGGGTCGAAGGCACAGTGATTCCTGTCCACAGATGAATAGGGGTCAGAGATAAAGCAGTGAAACTGATTCCTCTGTCTTGCTAACTCAGCTCCCCACAACCACAGAGGCTCAGGACCTGCAGATCACCAGCCAGGCTCAGGGTTTAACCCTCACAACCTGGAAGGACTGACTGTATTCCGTAGAGTAACTCTGCCCTTTCCTCCTATAAACCACCATCACTGCACCTTAATATATGGCATGCTACCACACGACTTAATTCTGAAAGCAATCCCCTGAAGACGGTATGATGACTCCATCTTAGAAACAGAAGGATGTAGCTCAGAAAGGCTGAGTCACAGAACCAAGATCTGTTCCCGGGTCCACCACCACCTACCATCTCCTAACTTATTTATGTTTCCTTCTAAAGCAGGGAGCTATGTGGTTTCACTTCTGATCCCTGTGATCCCATGCAGGTTAGTTAACCAGCGTTTGCTGACTGAGTGAGGTTAACTGTTAGCATCAAGTACCTGGGTTAGAACAACAAAGAGAACAGTTTCAGTTTCTCTCTTCCATGGCACAAACATGTGCTTACTGATTCTACATTCTCTTTTCTTCTGGCTTATATGCTGGTGTGAACCACTGACTGCTTTCCCTGGTTTTCTACTTAAAAACCAGTTATTTCATAAGGATGCTCACGAGGCTGTCACAGTGATTTGAAAACAGCAGTGCACCGAACACAACCCTGTCGTCTCTCCTCAGTACACAGGCACACCCCAACACTCACTCACGCGGGCACAGCTCTGAGGGCCCTCCTGAGGCCTCCGCTTACAACGGGAAGAGCTGTTTATTATTATAACAGTCAGGGGTACTTCCCAGGCACTGCCGAGGAATACTAGAGGTAGAGAGTTCCCTGTGGGTGGGCTCACGGGGATGCTCCATCATGTGTGTCCCCACCCACGGGGAAGGAGGCAGGCGCCTCTACACAGGGGCTCACATTCTGGGGAGCGGCCCCTGTGAAATCCTCTTGTCACCACATGTGCCCCCACCATTAACACAACCAGGCACACACATTTATCAAACATGGACTCTGGCAGGCGCTAAGCCGCATGCCTGTGTGGAATGGTGCAGGAGCCTCCCGGGGCACCCCGACCAGTGGCCCTTTACCCCAGTGTCTCTCTGCTGCCCGGATCAAGTCAGTCCCACCCCCACAGATACCCCAGTACCACCACACACAACAGACGTCAGCTGCCCCCAGGTCGTGTAGAACGCTTTGAAATACCAGCCCCTCGGAGCACCGTCACCCCAAAAATGACCTCCTACCCCACCTGCCTGCCACGGCTGCAGAAGCTGAGAGCGCGAATTCATTTCCCAGCACCAAACAACTGAAGACCAGAAAAGCAGAATCAGCCACAAGCCTGCAGCCTGAGACCTGCGTTTGCCCTGGGAGGGGGCGAGGAGCTAGGGCAGGCAGGGGATGCTCTGGGAAAGGGTCCCTCCCAACCGCCAGGTGGAAAACTCAAACATAAAGACCTTTGACAAACAGCATCTCTTCGCTCCTCTGCAGACGGCGGCGGCCACAGAGAGCAGGCCTGCTGGAAGCCATGGTGTGGCTGTCACAGCCAGCGGCGCGTTCTCTGTGTGCCCAGGCCATCGCTAGGAAGTTTACTAACAAAGTCTGGTCTCCAGGCAGATCCGTGGGTGCTCGGAGGCCGGCGTGTGGGCCGCGCTGTGACGCTCAGCTGGGCTTGGTGTCAGCCAAACTCTGCAGCTTCCTGGGAAAGGAAAGCCTCGGCTCCCGGCCCAAGTGCCCCAGCACCGCACATGGACTGGAGACCTCGTTTCTGGATCCAAAAAGCAGCACAGAGGCAAAGAAGCAGGATGGAAATGGGGTAGTTTGAAACAGCACTTGGTTGCTTTTCTGAACCTTCTCTCTCAAGGATGAAAGAGGAAATTTTAGAACAATTAAAATGCCTGCAAGATTAGTTTTCTTTTTCTTATTTCTTCCCTCCCATTCAAAGGCCCCAAACTTTTTGCAGATATGAAAATTATATATATACACACACACACACACACACGCGTACATTTATACACAGGATTAGAGAATTATGGCCAGGAAAAATAGAATAAAACCAACAGAGGTAGGGGAAAAGAACACAAGAATGGCTCATGAAGCCGGAGTGGCCGACCCTTAGCCTCCACACCACACGGTGAGCAGGATGGAGCTGGGGGCAGGACTGGGAGGGCCGCAGGGCCGGGAAGACAGGGCTCTTGAGTTTTAAAAGCACAATCTCAGCAGGAGGACGGCTCCCCACAAGCCGGACTCTGAGCCTGTGCCTCGGTTGCCAGGGTGGGGGTCAGCAAGCCTCGGGCACACCCAGCCCTCACAAGTTCCCGGGGGCCCCCTGAAGGAAGGCAGGGCTGTGCCGTGTGGGCTACGAGAGGTTTCCATGGGATCTGAAAAGCACTCCAAGGACACACCGGCAGGAGAGCAAATCAATACTGAGAGGGTTAAATATTAAATTCCAAGGAGTTTCAGGAGGTCTGTTTCCTCTGGCCCATGAAACCTAAACCTCAGCTGTCACAGAAGACCTCCTCCCTGCCCCAGGCTTGCTGCTCCTCGTGGGACTCCCAGCAACTTGCACTCCCCTGAGCTCATTCCACCTAGAACACCTTTCCTCGCTTTCTCTGTCTGAGGCCTTGCCCAGACATTGCCTCCTCCAGGAAGCCTTCCTGACCTGCCCAAGCAGAACTAATCAGCCCCCTTGCACTGGCTGTGAAGCACGATCTTGTACCATCTTCTGTCCCGGAATAAATGTCTCTGTGGACCCTGTCTCCCCTTCCTGCCTCAACACAGACTGGGGGCTTCCTGATCTGAGGTGGCCTGTTCATCTCACCAGCGGAGGGGAGCTAAAGGAGGGGCCTGGGCTGAGCTCCTTTTGAGAGCCTCTGGCTGAGGAGCAGCCAGCTAAGATGAGGAAGGATGAAAAGGTGCTCCAGCCTTGTATTTGGGGGAGGTCAGAAGTCGGGCCTTCTGGCTTCCTCAGCTGGTGCAGCAGATAGAGCCGAGTCCTGCACTCAGCTGAGAAGGAAGGTCGGTCACAGCATTTTGTGTGCACAGCACCCTGTTTCTTCGGGGTGCCTCCTCTGCTGCAGGAATGCGCACCCTCCGTAACCATCATAAGAGAGAGAAAACGTAGGACAGAGGGCCAGGCCACTGAACAGCAATTAGTGAAACCCCAAGGCTCTTCTCAAAGGTTCCAGTGGTATTCAGACAGGACCCTGTAGGGTGTGCATATGGAGTCGCAGCTCCTCCAGGGCTCCCAGGAATCCTGCTTGGCATTTAGAATATAAGAAACATCAGGGCAGACTGGTGACGGTAACCCTCTTGCTTGGAACCAGTGGCCGACTGTCCACAAAAGTAACCATCTGTGCAATTTATGGTGTGAAATCTGTCTTTCACCTATGCAGACCTCCACGCCGTGTGCCTCTGAGCGAGCTCCTCCACTCTCCGGGCTGGGCTTCTGCACCTATGAGGCTCGTTCTCTTCCATTCTAAACGGCTTCGGTGGGATCTGCCATGTGTAAGTCTGGAAACCACTATTATACTTGGATACAAACCCTGGAAGAAAAAACAGTGCTCTCTTCCAGCACAACTGTCCTGTGATTCATAGCAGAAAGTAATTTGCTAACACCCTGGCTTCCCGTCAGACACATCTAGTCTTTATTTGTGCGTGTGGCACAGTGACAGGCCTGGCTGCCGAGAAAGATGCTGAGAAGCCAGAGCTGGAGGGACCCCAGAGCTGGTCTAGCTCCATCCAGCATCCTCCCTCACTGCTCAGACAGCACAGACATGAGCTCTTGCTTCTCACAGGCTTCTCGTAGAATACGCTCATCAGTAACCGCAGAAGACGTTTAATAGCCGTGCAGCTGGCAAGATGCTGAAGGTGGTTTTCAGGGAGTCATCTCAGGCCTAGGGGAGGCAGACAAGCGGTACTGGGCAGAGAATGAATCTCACTTGACCCTGACCACCGACAACTGGCCTTCTTATCTGTGACAGCAAGTGGGTAACGCCTGTCGGGGGCCCCAGCTTGATGGGGGAGCCAAGTGGAGAGAGGAGAGAGGAAGACAGAAAGGCAGGCCCCCTGCATGGATGCTGTATTTACTGAGCACCTACTACATGCCAGGTGGTATGTAATGTCTACATTCTAGACATTAGAATGCACTGACAACAGCAACAAAAACCCCAGGATTCCTGCTCTCAGGAGAGCGTGCACCCTAGCAGGGGAAAAGCATGCAATGCCACAGGGCGGAAAAAAATAAGTGAACAGTATCGTCTATTCTCAGGTGCCAAAAGGTACGGAGAAGGGAAAGCAGAGCGGGACAAAGAAGACGGGGCATGTGGCAGGAGAGACAGGTGGGGCCACTCTGAACAGGGGCTCACAGGTGGTGTTTACACAGTTTGCTGGCAGAGGGACCGGCAGGCGCACAGGCCCTAGTGCCCAGAGCGGGCTGCAAAGTGACAGTCGGCTGACTTGAGCAGGGGGCTGCTCGGGCTGCCATGCTGGGAGCAGACTGCAGGGGGTAGGGGTGAGGACACTGCCCTGGGGAGCAGCCAGGCAGAAGCAGGGTAGCTGGCGGTGGGGAGGAGGGCTGCAGAGGAGAGCTCAGCTTCTGGGGGTGCACTGAGGGTAGACCCAGGATGCCAGGCAAAGGCACAGATATGAGTAAAAGGGAAGGATAAGGATGGCGGAGGGGAAACAAAGCAAAGGACACTCTACGGCACTCTGGCCCCAGAAGCCTGCATCCTGCCTCACTACGGGGGCCGGCTTAAGAGCCATCATATAAAAGTGAGGGTGGGGTTCAAGCAGGGCCCAGCCAGAGCCCAGGCCATGCTCGGAGAAGCAGAGACTACAGCAGCGAGGCACCAGACAGACCCTCCCATCCCCAGGGGCATGGGTGCAGCTGAGAGTGAGCTGCAAAACCACAGCACCATCAGAGCAGAAACCCAGAGACGGTCCCAGGGGTGGACACAGCGTAAGCGAGTAAGGAGTTTGGGCCAGGACAGGCTGAGGAGAGATTTCAAATGCAATTTTCAGTATACAAAGTACTGTTTCATAGTCACTGCACCGTCCTTGACTTCCACCCAGGATAGGAAGAGAGTGAACACCCTTCTGTCTGATGGGTGAGGGAGGGTTAAGTGAGACATACAGAAAAATTGTAAGTTGTGACACCTCCCTTTTTTAGGTCAGAGAGAGGGGACAAATGCGTAGACTCTCAGGGTCTTTTAGTATCATTGTGCTGGGGGACAGCGGGTGGACCAGATGCTCTGTTGGGATTGGAATCTGGGAGCTTGTGATGCTATGTGCTTAAAACAGAAAAGTTACCCCAAACTATAAAAAATGTTATAAATAACAGTACAGTGTCAGCATCCACCAAAAAGAGTACAAAGCAAGCCCCTGGCACACGAGGGGGACAGATTTAGTTAAAAAGCACACACACACCCCACCCTAGGCAACCATACAAATTTAAAAAAACACCAACTTTGTTCCTTGTTTAGAAAGAAACGAAAAAAGCTTCACACATCTATTTTTACAATTCAAAACTGAAAATGCTATTTCATAAATCCATCTCTCTGCCCCCAGCACTGGTATCTGCATCTTCCTGCTGGTGGATGTCCCCTGCCAGCCTCCTCTGCTCTCAGAGCACCCTGGGACTCCTGTCAAACCTACTCATCTGTGCACCCAGCTCCCGGTCCCCCAGCCCTGACACACTGCCCTCCATGTGCAGCCTGCTGAGGCCACCGTCTAGCATGTCACTCAGCGCGGCCTGGGGCCACGGTAAGTTATTCCCATCCTTCACTTTCTCGGCGCTCACTGTCCAGTTTCTCTAACTCTGCCTTCAGAGCTGGGAGCAGCTGATTCACGTGGGCTGATTATATACCATGGGGTCCAATTCACCTGTCAACCATCTAAAACCAGCTTCCCCTTAATGTTCTAAAAACTGAATTGTGGTTAGGGTTGTACAACTTTGTATATTTATGAAAAAGATCACTGAATTATACACTTACGATGGGTGTATTTTATAGCATGCAAATGATACCTCAATAAAGCCGTTAAAAAAAATCAGCATCCACATCTTTACAGATGTTTCTGTTTGGCAGCAGACCTGAGGTGGGGACCTATGTTCTCTGCCCATGGACAATCTCTGTGGTGTTGGGAGGTGCCTGGCAGCAGCGGGGCAAAGAGGACAGGCTTCCAGATGGCAGTGGAAGGGGAGACACCTGCAGGGGTGAGAAGAGAGGGAGCGCCAGCAGGAAGGTGGGCAAGCTATGCAGGTGACATCAGAGCCGAAGGGAGGGGTGAGAAAAGGCAGGGAGAAGGATGTGTTTAATATTGGGTTCAACCATACACAATGGTCATTTTCATAGGTCAAAAAAGGTTGAATATTGCAATCGCCTACAGTTAAACCTAACCCATGGATGTCCACGTGTGACAGACGAAGCAGCTCAGGTTTGGGGGCGGACAGAGCAGGTTTCCAATCAGCCCCTCTGCTTACAGGCCAACTGGTCAAGGGCGTGGCACCCACACCCTCGGAGCCTCAGTTCTCTCACTATAAACAGAAATGGGCGCAGCCACACCACAGAAGCACGTTTTCATTCCTTTAAAAACAAATTTTAATTAACTAATTAAAGATGGAGTCTTGCCTGTCATCCAGGCTGGAGTGCAGTGGCACAATCATGGCTCACTGTAGCCTCGACCTCCTGGGCTTAAGCCATCTTCCTCAGCCTCCCAAAGTAGCTAGGACTACGAGTGTGTGTCACCATGCCCGGCTAACTTTTTTATTTTTTGTAGAGCTAGTCTCTCACCACTACGCTCAGCCTTTCATTCAACTTTTAACGCAAGTTCAATGGCAAGCACAGGGTGGGCTTGCTAAGGAGTCACTGTCCCCCTCTCTTGCTCCTCCAGTGTCTCCAGGGTAGAAGGAACAACAGGAGTAAGCTACCGCCAACCTCTACAGGCATCGCTCTCACCTCCTCCCGTAACACCAGCCCCAAATAAACCAGGAAGGCGGCAGAGCTCTGCTTAGCAAAACAGGCTCCACTTCCCTGAAGTTACCAGAAATCATGAGAATGCCCCCGACCCTGGAGCCCACGGCTGTGGCCAGCGTGGACTGCATTTGGCATCCCGCCTTTCTCCGGAGGAGCCGTGAAATAAAGCCGGAACACACATGGCCCCATGACAGAGCTGGCAAGCGAGCAGAACCAAAGGCTCCCTGCTACTGACACGTGAAGTGGGGGAGGGCGCTTGCCGTCAGGGGCCACCAGGAGGACCGGGGGTGGCCTCTGCAGAGTCCCCATGTAAGGCGGTGGTGCCCACAGGCCAGAGCACTGAAGACTAACAGGGGTGCAGGGAAGCTCTTCCTTCTGGCTCATGCAGACAAAAGGCAGACACCTCAGCCAGCTGAAGCCCAGAAGGAGCGCCCCCACGGAACAAGGAAGCCGCCGCTGATGTTCTCAGGGCGGTGGCACTAAAAGAGGACTGCTCTCCCACCAGCTATGTCCTCAGCTGGTCACTCAGTGAACTCTTCTGAAGTCTCAAGGCCACTTTAGCTACTGTCATAAGGACAGGAGAGGGGATGGCCAGGCTGCAGTGAGGCCAGGGTGAGGAGACGCCAACAGAGGGAAGCCTGAGTCCCTTTTGGAAACGCCTCTAATGTTTAGGATCCACGGTCTATTGCCATCCTACAGGTGCGGCTTTTCCTGTGTTCCTTGATCCCTCAGCTATTCCAAGAGGCCCCAGACCTAGGGTTCCAAAATGATGACAAGGTCTCCATCAGAACAAGGGAAGCCCTAGCCAGCGAGAGTAAGTCTGTCCCCGGGGCCTGCGACTTCTGTCCACGAGCTATGGGTGCAGGTAAACACACGCAAAGGTGAAAGGAACGCAAGGCATCACTCCATGTAATGCACGCAGGAAGTTACCTGACAGGCAGAGATTAAGTTCTGACTTTCTGTAAGATGCCAGGAGGACATTTAATTTGGTTTTTCTTTCTTTTTTTCATTTTATAATTAGAGATGAGGTCTCACTATGTTGCCCACGCTGGTCTTAAACTCTTGGGCTCAAGCGATCCTCCTGCCTCAGTCTCCCAAAGTTTTGGGGTTACAGGAATGAGCCACTGCGCTGGGCCTCATTGAGACTTTCAAACTCACACTGAGTGTCAGAGACTGCAGGGACCTAGAACCTGTGCCTACCAGGAGAGCTGAGTCCAGCAGGTAGACATAAAACAGATCAATGAGCTCCGTCACCAAGCATGAATGAAGCCTTGTAGGACCCCAGTGAAGACAGATGTCATTCTCTAAAGAGATTCTTACTCTCCTGTCTAAGGTACCACACTCCCTGATGGTGTCAGTTGATTCCACACTTACTCAGGAAGTGAGTCCACCAGATGGTATGACTCAGGCACCTAAACCCAGACTCATCTTCTCAGGAGCAACAAGGCGGTGGCCTCGCCAGCCTCTACACACACATCTGAGGGGTTGGGAGGCTTCACTCTTTTTTTTTTTTGAGACAGAGTCTTGCTCTGTGCCCAGGCTGAAGTGCAGTGGCGTGATCTCGGCTCACTGCAAACTCCGCCTCCCGGGTTCACGCCATTCTCCTGCCTCAGCCTCCCGAGTAGCTGGAACTACAGGCACCCACCACCACGCCCAGCTAAATTTTGTTTTTGTATTTTTAGTAGAGATGGGGTTTCACTGTGTTAGCCAGGATCGTCTCAATCTCTTGACCTCGTGATTCGCCCGCCTCGGCCTCCCAAAGTGCTGGGATTACAGGTGTGACACCGTGCCCGGCCTGGGAGGCTTCAATCTTTTTTTTTTTTTTTTTGAGACGGAGTCTTGCTCTGTCCCCCTAGCTGGAGTGCAGTGGTACGATCTTGGCTCATTGCAAGCTCCGCCTCCCGGGTTCACACCATTCTCTTGCCTCAGCCTCCTGAGTAGCTGGGACTACAGGCACCCACCACCGCGCCCGGCTAATTTTTTGTATTTTTAGTAGAGACGGGGTTTTACTGTGGTCTCGATCTCCTGACCTTGTGATCCGCCCGCCTCAGCCTCCCAAAGTGCTGGGATTACAGGCGTGAGCCACCACGCCCAGCTGAGGCTTCAATCTTAAGGAAGAAATGTGCCCTTGGCTGAATGCCTCAGGGTAATGAACCCACTCTTTAAAATCTCAGCAAAATGATCATGTGTTTTCACTGTGCTGGCCCAAGCTGGCAGCCAGAGCTCGACGGCCAGCAGCTGCCCAACGCCGATGGCACTGCCCAGGCACCGCAGGGGGGGAAGGGAGCGGCTTTCACTCACCAGATAGTGGGTCTCTGCCAATCATCAAAACATTGGGCAAATTCATTACAATCAGCTGCTGGAGAACTTCCTGCAGAAACAAAGGGGGAAAAGATACCATTAAGAACCGGGAACAAAAATAAAGAGGGATTAAGTAAATTACAAGTAATGAAGCCCCCAGATGGGTGTGCAGCCATCCCGTGGTGACGACGACGGTGCTAATAATGACAGCAAGGAGCAGGTAAGATGCAAACAAACGTGAAAGTCAAAGCCTAACTGTATTTCTGTCTTGATTGTTAGCAAATAAAAAGTATGTCTACAAGGATTTAATGGGGTTATGAAAAAAGAAAAAGCATATTTAAAAAATAAAATGAAAGCTAAAGTTATGTCTGCATAGGTAGAGAGGCCTCGGGGAAAAAAAAGGCAATAGATGACACGCTCAGATAGCAGGATGATGTTTCTTTTTTAAAAGATATCCTTATTTTTATTGTATGACTTGTGCAATTAAAAAATGAGGCCAGGTGCAGTGGTTAACGCCTGTAGTCTCAACCCTTTGGGTGGCTGAGGCAAGAGGATAGCTTGAGACCAGGATTTTGAGACTAAGCCTGGGCAACATAGCAAGACCCCATCTTCACACACACACACACACACACACACACACACACGCGCGCACGCTCTCTTAGCCAGGTGAAGTGGTGTGTGCCTGGGATCCCTGCTACTTGGGAGGCTGAGGTAGAAGAATCGCTTGAACCTGGGTGGTCGAGGATGCAGTGAGCTGAGATCACACCACTGCACTCCAGCCTGGGGAACAGATGGAGATCCTGTCTCCAAAAAAGAAAATAATAATAATAAGGAATAAAGATTAAAGAGATGCTACTGAGCCTTTCTAATCTGATGGTTCAGGATCCAGCACTAAGCAGGTCTTTGGTACAAGTTATAAATGAGGAGACTTCTCTTGTTTATAGCATGGACTTCCTAAGCGAGGGATACATCAGAGCTGCTCTGCACAGCCAGAGGTGGTGCCTTCTGGCCCTCACACCAATGGGCTTGGAAAGAAGACCCAGGCATCAGCTATCAGTCACCCCCACTCATCTGGGTACAGGCTCTCCTCAGCGTGCTGGCTCACAGCCCAGCGTACCACTTACATCCCCCTAAGTATTTCCTGGGGCAGATCAGTCTTCTGTGCCCAGATGCACAAATAAGGAGATTTTAAAATTCCAATTCTGGCAGGGCACGGTCGACACGCCTGTAATCCCAGCACTTTGAGAGGCTGAGGTGGGAGGCTTGAGCCTGGAGTTCAAGACAAGCCTGGGCGACACAGAAAAAACTCGTATCTACAAAAAATTAAGAATCAGCTAGGTGTGGCACTGAGCCCTTGTGGTCCCAGCTACCCGGGGGGATTGCCTGAGCCCAGGAGTTCCAGGCTGCAGTGAGCGATGTTGCACAACTGCACTCCAAGCTGGGTGACAGAGCAAAACCCTGTCTATAAAAAAAAAAAAAAAAAAAAAAATCCAATTTTACGGAAGACAAAAAAGAGGGTGGGTTTCATAACTATTCTAAAAGTGGCCACTGTAGAAATTCTTCACCAAGAATGCTCCTCTTAGGCCTTTAAAAAGTGTTTCTGTTGAGACACAACTAGTTTCATAAGTCGCTCTATTGCATAACATGCGGAATCTCCATATCCAGTATGCTGCTAACTGGCTCTCAAGAAGAGGGGGATAACTACACAACCCACATGGCCCGGGTGCATATCTCAGACCGTCTCTGGTCAGATTAGAACGGCCGAGGCCGCATGCCGGGAGAGGCATGAGTCCCTCCTTATTGTCTTTCTATGGCTCCTGTCCACACGGCCGGAGGGGATGTTAAACCGTGAGGTGTACCCCACTCCCGAACACACCAGCCCCCCTCCACTCAATGCTGGAAATCACATTTCTCCATTATCCAGGGTCACACGTCACTGCGTCAGCGACGGCTAATGCTTTCCTCAGACATGTTTCAGCTGGTAAGTATCTGTATGCGTTGGACAACAGTGTGAGTTGTTTAACCGCTTCAGCCCTCCTTTAGGGCTCGGGAAAAGTCAATGTGAAAAAATTGTCTCTTAAGTGCATGAGTTCGCCAAAGGGTTCCAACATCCTCGCCCTACTACCCCCGGCAAAACACACCAGCAAAATCAGTGAAATCTGCTTTCCAGCTAATTCACTCAGTGAAAGGAGGGTACCCAACAGCATCAGCCTGTCCGTCACATAGCTCCCTCCCAGCCTCACAACTACACTCCAGGCCAGGCACGGGGGCTCACGCCTGTAATCCAGCACTCTAGGAGGCCAAGGTGGGTGGATCACCTGAGGTCAGGGGTTC